CAGATTTAGAATCAACATTATCTTTTTGAACAGTAGAGTCCGATTTATCTTTAGATAGTTTTTCATCATTATTATTAATGACTGATGAGTTTGAAGAGTCATTTTTCTAAAATAAAGTACAACAAATTAAAATACCTAATTAGGATTTATTAGATATATTTTTATGAAAATGGTTTTTTTTTATGAATTTTTAGTTAAAAAAAAGCAAATCTTTTTAGTAGGTATTTAAGCTATAAATATACAATCATATTATATGATGTAATAATAGTAATAAATAATAATTAATAATATAGGTATAGGTATGTCCAATGTTCATTATACTAATTAATGATCAATTTGATTTGTTTAAATATCAATAACAATATTAACAATACCTCAGATTTAGAATCAACATTATCTTTTTGAACAGTAGAGTCTGATTTATCTTTGGATAGTTTTTCATCATCATTATAACTGACTGATGAGTTTGAAGAGTCATTTTTCTAAAATAAAGTACAACAGATTAAAATACCTAATTAGGATTTATTAGATATATTTTTATGAAAATGGTTTTTTTTTATGAATGTTTAGTTCAAAAAAAGCAAATCTTTTAAGTATTTAAGCTATAAATTATAATATTATTATATTTATACTTGTATGCAATATGGATGGATATTAGATATAAATATACAATCATATTATATGATATAATAATAGTTATAAATAATAATTAATAATATATAGGTATGTCCAATGTTCATTATACCAATTAATGATCAATTTGATTTGTTTAAATATCAATAACAATTAACAATATTAACAATACCTCAGATTTAGAATCAACATTGTCTTTTTGAACAGTAGAGTCTGATTTATCTTTAGATAGTTGTTCAACATCATTATAACTGACTGATGAGCTTGAACACTCATTTTCCTAACATAAAAAATATAAGAAATTAAAATAATTTGTATTTATTACGATATATTTTTGTTATACTGATTTTATGAACGTTTAATACAACACAAGCTTACCARTTACTGAGTTTCCTATTAAATATTAGCGATAAATATAAATCATAATAATATATAATATGCTAATAAAAGTACTTAGGTTCATTTTTTTCAAGGGATACCTAATTATAAATATTTATTACAAAAAATATCAAGTATAATAAACGACTTACCGGTATCATTACCCGTTTATTCAAATTCCGTGTAGCTGCTGCACTTTCGAACGGATTTTTTGGTGCGCCAACATGTTTAATATTTACTCGTTTTCCACGATGTAATTTTTCCTCGTGTTTTTTTTTGAAATCGTCATTAAATTGACTGCCACATTCTAAACATTCAACTTTAACACGTTTTCTTTTTCTTTTATTATTAACTTCAYTCATTTTTGTTGAACAAAATAAAATATAAATATAAAATATGTTTATGTGCAGAGGGCCAGTGACAGAGTGTGGTTAACATGTATTGTGATTTTGATTATGACTACTGATTAGGGTAATATAATTAAAAATACGATGCAAATAGTATAAACGTTGTTATAAATAAAATTATCTGTATAAATAACATACATTATAGTATGTACATATTTATTATTTTTATACGAACTATACGGGCATACGGCTATTTAGTATTATATACTAATAAAGACACGGACGGTTGACGACGGTGACGTCCGATACCGGCTCAATAATACATACCCAATCTATTTTTATCACGCTTTATCGCTAAAGAAAGTATTAGTATAATTCTTATAACATATTCTTCATACGTTAAAAATAATAATTTAATAATAACATAATATCATTAATAGAAAATAATAAWTTTTTTTGTATTTTTGTTTTTGTCAAATAAAATATTAATAATAATATTTTAATATATTATTAAATGTCGTTAAATTGCCGACTCGGTAGCTCAATATCAAATGTGCCGACTGACCAAGTCGTGGGGGGGT